GGGTCTAGAACCGATTAACCGTGAGAAGCGAGGGTTCACTGTATTTCAAAAGGAGATACGACCCAAGGCCCTTGACTTCTTCCCACCCATGGAGCACCTCTGCCTTCAATTCCTTTCTAGGAAGGTGGCCTGGACTGGTGTGTCCCCAGGAATTGGGCTTTGTCACTTTTGACAGATGTCTCCGGTTACACCCTGGGACTGAGTTAGGGGCAGCCATAGCCCCTAGAACTTGGGCCAAGGCCAAGAAGGGGCCATGGGGGTCTGGGAAAACCAGGGCCCAGTGCTAGGCTGGGAGCTCCCTACCTGCCAAGCCAATGCTGCCCAGGCCTCAGGGCTTTCCCTGCCGGGGCCTTACCTGGTCTCTCCCTCCTTACAGGTAGTTCCTGAAAGATAGGCCCTGCTCCTTCTCCTCCATACTCCACAGGCCTTGCCCTCCCCTTGGGCTGGGCAGCCAGCCTGGAGTTGTTCCCCACTGGGGGCACATGGCCCATCACTCTGCCCCCTGCCTGAGCAGGATCTGGGCCTCTCCCTTCCTCTCTGCCCAAGCTGTCTCCTCACATGGCCACTCCATCTGTCCCCACTGACCATCCAATCCATAGGCCCCAAAGAAGACTGAGCTGAGGCTGGTGCCCAGCATTGCCAGGGACAGCCAACTGGGTGAGCACTTGCTCCCTGTCTTTTGCATCTTCAGCGGGAAAGATGCTGCTGCCTCCAGGGGAGCAGGCACCAGGCAACCCAGCCCTCACCCCAGGCCCCACCTCCATGTCGTGGGTAGCACCACTGTAGGTCTCTGAAGTCCCTCTGTCCAGGCAGTGGAGGCCGTCCTTACACACACCTTCTAATCCTGGGCAAACACTGTGGGCCTCGTGCCAGCCTAATGCCTCACAGGGCTGAGGTCAACTGCAGCTACTGTATCTTCAATGATAGCATCAGGGACTATGATAGTTAAAGGGAGCACTTGTGGTATAGTGGTTACTTGTTGAGCTGCTAACCGCAAGGTCAGCAGTTTGAAACCACCAGTGGCTCCATGGGAGAAAGATGAGGTTTTCAACTCCCTTAAAGAGGTATAGGCTTGGAAGCTTACAGGGGCAGTTCCACTTTGCCCTATAGGTTCTCGATGGGTCAGCATCCACTTGATGGCAGTGAGTTTGGTTTGGGCTTGGTGATAGAAGTTGTGTCAATTTGGCCTGGTCAGGACTCTCCGTGGTTTGACAGTAAACCCTCCCCCATACGGTGCCGGTCACAACCTGATGAGGTCTCCTGGTGGAGTGTGGCCTATTTATGAGACCCTGTGGAAAACTGGTCTCTCTCTCCTGGTGCCTCTCCTCTTCCCTCCTTGATTGGATCCTAGTCTGGCTTCTGGGGCTGCTGGCCCATAGGAGCTGCTGACCCTGGGAGCTGTTGGCACCTGCTAATTGTTGGATCTGTGCAACTCCGCACTCACCAGCCTGTGATCTCCCAGCATCCCAATTACCTTTTGGCTTCTGCAGCCGGCAGCTGTGTGAGCTGGGAGGGACCCACAGCTAGCATCTGACCCTTGGATGTGGGTTAGACTGGGCTGGGCCGCATCCTGGATACTTCTCTCTTAATAGCAAGTTCCTACGTATAGTAAATGAGTGTCACTGGCCTTGTTTCTCTAGAAAACCCGGCCCAGCCCAGGAGCTGACCCAGAAAAGCCCACAGGCTTTCAGTGGAGGGTCCTGCACACTTATACTCAGCTGGGAGAATAGGCAGTTATCAGCAGGCTCCCACTTCAACCAGGTTCCAATGAGGATCGGAATGACATCCCACCATCTGTTGCAGCGGCCCCGGCTTTCTGGAATAATCTTCACTGCACATGGTACGATTGAAGTCCAAGCCCCCTGGGTCTCCAGCGTGTGGCAGAGCCAGCGCACAAATCAAGATGCTGGTGCACAGACCCCTGGCAAGGGTCCACCACATACCAACTTTATTAAAACTGGCTCAAGCCCTCTTAACAAAGGATGCAGCTGGTCACGGCTGGCTTAGATCCCTCCCATTTCCAAGGCTCCTTCCTGGGTCTCGCTCAGCCTTTCTGTCCCACCTTAGTCTGTTAGTCAATCAGCTGAGGGTTGTGCTGGCCAAGATCTTCCTGTTCACAAAGGGCTTCTCCCATCCATGTTCTGGCAGGATTCTCCTGGCAGGCAGAGGTAAGCAGGGCAGGGCTGGTGGCCACCTGCAGCTTGAAGAGACCCTGATGCAAGGTGCTCTGCTGGGAGCCCCAGGGGACCCAGGTGCTCCGCTAGGAGGACCTGGCTACAAGGTTTTGGGTCTCTGGATGTGGCAGGCCTTGCTCTGCCATCAGCCCCTCAGCCACTTGGTGTCCTTATCCACGGTCGAAAAGCGGATTAGCTTCAGGGAGGGTGGCAGGGACTTACTGTCATCCCAGAGGTACTCAGGGGACAGCACCTTGGAGGGCTTTTGAGAGATGAAGCGGCGGTTCAGGTGGCTCTCCTCCTGCCAGGCGGCCATGATACCATTGGCCTTGTCTGCCAGGATGGCCATGTGGCAGCCCCTGGTGAAGTCATATACTTTGGCTACCCGGCCCCCAAAGACCGCCCCACCATAATAAAAGTCCCCTTCACTGTCCTCCACAAAGGCAGTGGAGATGTGCCTGCGTTCATAGGGAAACTGCTGGCGGGGTACGGCATAGTAGCCCGGGTGAATGGCAGCCACCAGGTCCCCCAGGGTCTCAGGGCCCCACGAGTTCCTGAATACCATGTCCACATCGAGGCAGAAGAGGTAGTCCACCTCGCGGTGCGCCCTCCTGACAATGTGCTGGCTGATGGTCTCCATCCGGCGCATGGAGATCTCTTCCCAGCTGGAGTGATCCTGGATGGGGATGATGCTGAGGAGCCTGCCAGGGCCTAGCGGCACGTGGGGTATGGCCTCAGGGTCATTAGTGAAGACGTAGTAGTTCACTTGGTAGCCCTGCATGAAGAATGCCTCAGCCGATTCCAGGAAGGGCTGGATCAAGGTGGTGTACCTGGTGAGAAGACCCCAGTCCAAATCTACCCTCCCCATGTCAGGACCCCCCAACCAGACACCTACCATGTGCTGGCACCACTAAGCCACCAGCTCTGGAGTCAGCCGGGATAGGCCCCACCTCCCTGCTCCTCCACCACCTGGATTACTATGGCCTCGTCCCAAAAGACTCTAAATTCAAACGACAGGACTGGTCTCTTAAGACTGTTGTAAGGATGATACTTTAACAGTAATGATGTGTATAGTCATAAACCAGGCTAACTTTTACTGAGTGCTTTCTAAGGGTTGGGCCAGGTTCTATGGGATTCTCGCCTCTTTCAGTCCACATAAGAGAGGTGTTATAATCTCTTTGTTATAGGCAGGAACACTGAGATTCAACAGGACAGTCACCCAGACACAAGTAAGTGGAGACATCCAGGGAGGGTAGGCTGAGGGTGTTGGGAGTGCAGAATGGGCAGTGGACCTCATGACCAACCCCAAGCTACAGGTAGTTGGATAAGGAACCACCAGGTAGGCTGTCCATCATCTGGCCAGTGCCCTCTCTCAGGAATCCCACAGGGAAATTGTCTGGTGGGAGCTCCTAACGGGAATACCAGGTCAGACCAGGTAGGAGAGAGGGGAACAGAGGAGAAAGCCAGAGAGGAGGGCAAGAACAGTAAGGGTGTGGAGAGGAGAGGTTCCTGGGGCTTGCCTGCTTGGGTACCCGGCCTGCCTGTGGCCAAGGAAGCCCACGGATGTGCAGAGGTCTGAATTTCTGTTTCTTGAAATATACCTGAACTCTCCCTGCTGTTCTCTTCCTAGGCTGGCTCCTCCCTCTTTCTAGACCACAGCCAGGCCCCCTCCTCCAGGCAATTCCCACCCCACCCCCACAACCCCACTACCTTCCCATTTGCTCAGCACCTGGCCCAAGACCTTCCGTGGTCCAGGCCAGGTCCCAGGTCTGGGGCCTACATCTCCCCCAGACTGTAAGGCCCTGCACCTCAGCCTGGGACTCACCTCCCTACAGCAAACACTGTGAGCCCGATGGTCAGGTTCAGCGGCTGATAGATGCTCTGCAGAAGCGCCAGGTCAAAGGTCCCCTCCGATACAATGGGTGCCAGCCAGGGCGTGAGTGTCAGCAGCTCTGTGGGTCTGGCAACAGGGGAGGCCACGAGGCACTGAGCCCACCCTTCTGTGAAATTCCAGCCTGGCCCTGCCTACCATGCAGGGTAGTTCTGTCCCTGTGTCTGAACTTCAGCTTCCTCATGTGGAAAGTGAGGATAAAGGAACCTGGTGGCACAGTGCTTTAGCACTCAGCTATGAACCCAAAGTTGATGGTTCAAACCCTACAGCCACTTCATTGGAGAAAAATGTGGAGACTCAGGGGGCAGTTCTACTCTGTCCTCTAGGGTGGATAGGTATTGGAATCGACTCCGACAGCAACAAGTCTGATTGGGATGACCAGGAGTTCATTCCCAGAAGCGTCTGGAAGAATCAGGCATGTCATGGGTCTTCTGAGGACTTAATGAACAAGAGCTCCGAGCCCTGGTGGTGTAGTGGGCTGCTGACTCCAAGGTCAGCAGTTCGAAGCCACCCACTACCCCGAGGGAGAAAGATGAGGCTTTCTGTTCTTGTATGAGGAGTTCATCTTGGAAACTCAAAGGGGCCGGTCCAGCCTGTTCTACAGGGAAGCCAGGAGTAGGAGCGGATGGCAGTGAGTTTGGTTTGGGTTTGGAGCACGGACAGTGGGGCAACCACAAGGCTGCAAATTTTATAAGCATCCCCTCCTCTGGTCTTCCAGCCCTTAGAAGGTTATTGGTGTTGGGTGCTGTCAGGTTGATTCCAACTCACAGAGCCTAGAAAGGAGAGTTGAACTGCCCCACCCCCACCCCCCAGGGTTTCTTAGACTGCAGTCTTTACAGGTCTTTTTACCTGCCCACTCGCCGACCTTTGGGTTAGCAGCTGAGACCATAATCAACCCAGTACCGGGGCACCTTTTCCGATGAGGTAGGGATCACACTCACTCCTCACTTAGCGACATGGTTAGGTCCCAGGCCATTCAGGGAAAATCCATGTTATGCAAAAGTGGAGGATCACGACATAGCGGCCCACTTCCATCAGTACATAATTGCTGATGAGGACTACTAAGCCTCATGGCCCAGCCAGGCTGACCCAGAGCCATCACCACCACAGCCAGCAAGGCTCTTACCTCGAAGCTTGGTGGTCATTACTGTCGGAGGCACAGTTTTAATGTGCGAAATAGATTTTTTCTTTTTACCAATCTTGCAAACGTTGAACATCAGGTAACAAGATAGTCAATAGGTGAGGGTAGGTGTTATTATCTATTTTACACACACACACACACACACACACACACACAGAGCAGTTAAGTAACCTGCCTCAGATGACACAGCTAGTGACATAGGAAAGGTTGAAATCCACCCAAGTTCAATTCACACACAGCCTGTGTGCTTACACAGGCCCAGACTGCCCAGGCCCCAAGCCACCCTGAAACACCTTTACCACCCCACCTTCTAATCAGGGCTCCTGCTGACTCTTCCACCCACCACCTCACCCTGTGCTCAGGCCCTAACCAACACCTACCTCTGCTCTAGCAGCTTGGGTTGTGGGTAGTTTGACCTGCAACCAAGGAGAGCCAGGGATGAGGGGAGGTGGCCCCTCCTCCAGGGGCCACCAAGGGGAGAAAGGGCAGTCTCCTTACTGTGCCGCAGGCTGGAACGGCTTCTCCCCCTTGTACTGCAGCTTCATGTTACTGGTGGCAAAGACAAGAAAGAGGCCTTAGTGTTGGGGCCTGTGACAGAGATACTCAACACGTGAATAACGATGAAGCCTTTAGATGAGCTGGTATTGCCGTAGGGACCATGCTGACCCGCTAACCTTCACCACAGTTCTGCCCATTCTAAAAAGGGGTGGGGGCTGGTCCAGCTCATCCAGGTGAGGTGGTCTTTCAGGGTCAATGACCCAGTAAGTGGCAGGATTGAGATTTGAACCCAGCACCCCACGGGGCCACAGCAGATGCTTTTCAACCCTGTTGTTCTGCAGGATCACAGCCTCTCCTAGAGGGCTTGAGAAGCTGCAAAGGCCCAGCAGGCCCACCTCCGCTGCTTTCTCTCTCAGAGACCTCTCCTTCCCCTGGACCTATGGGGATGGCCGGTTTCATGTGCTCACTTGTCAGTCACTCAATCCATCACACATCAAGTTTGACTGTTTGAGGCTTTGTATATGTAATGAACACTTTCAATCAGCTGGTAGTAGTTTAAGGAGATTATCTGGGTGGACCTGATCCAATCAACTGAATCTTCTGTTGCCCTGAAGGTGAAATACTGCCTCCAAGAAGACAGCATCAGCCCTTGTCCAAGAGTTCCCAATTGCCCTTCCTTGTAGTGAGCCCAAATAAGTAAGCACACATACACACATAAGTGTCTGGTAGTGTGACTGGTCTGTCCCCCGGTGGAACGCGCCCTGAAGTTCCTGCCTGTCCTTATCTGTTGAATGGGACAACCATTCTTAGCCCTCCAAGTCTTTGCGAGAATTAAACTAATTCGTTTATCTCGTGGGCATTTTAGCCCAGCATGGAAGTGCCCTCTGGGAAAGCCCAGCATGTTCATCCCTTCTTAGCAAGCAGCCTCCAGCCTCTGCTGGCTTCCACAAATGCCAACCTGAGCCCAGAAGCAAGGGGTCCTGGAGGAAGGTGAGGCAGGGTTGCTGGGTGGGCACCAGGGATTGCCTCCGGCAGTGCTACCCACTGGCTAAAGGGCACAGGCCTCCCTTTTCACTCCCTGGGCTTGAGTTCCATCCTTGAACCAGGGCCACCAGTCCTTTTTCCCCAGTGGCGTTTTACAGGTGGGGGAACGGAGGCCCTGAGGAGAAGGCCTGTCTGCGGTGTCAGTGCGGTGTCAGTGTGGCTCCAAGAGAGGCCTGAGGCTGACTGTCCTAACGCAGGCACGCCGAAGCTCAGGCCGGTTTGTGGCATGGTTGTCTCCACACTGCGAGTGAACTTTCAATGCCACATGGGATGGAATGGCCTACACCACCTTGAGTGCTCTCCTTTTTGTGATCTATAGCAGGAGCCCTGGTGGCACAGTGGGTTAAGTGCCCACAACTAGCTGATCCCATAAAGATCTACAACTTCGGAAACTCTCCGCAGTTCTACTCCATCCTGTTGGGTAGCGCTGAGTCAGAGCTGACTGGATGGCGGCGGGGTTCTGGGGTGTTTGTCCACCGCAGGGGTGGGTACATCCGGCCCAAGGGCCATATCACCCAAACCAAACTCACTGCCATCGAGTCAGTTCTGGCTCAGAGTGACTCTATAGGACAGAGTAGAACTGCCCTGTGGGTTTCAGAGACTGGAACTCTTTACGGGAATAAAAGCCAAGTCTTTCTCTCTCAGAG